CTGGGACTGCTCTCACACCCTGTCACCCATCTGCAGATGATCTATGTGGGGCGCAATGCCAAGGATGTGGCCGTTTCCTACTACCACTTTGACCTTATGAACAAGTTAGAGCCACACCCCGGGACATGGGCCCAGTACCTGGAGGAGTTCATGGCCGGCAGAGGTGGGACAGGGCACCCCTGGGTGAATGTGGAAACTCTGTGGGGTGCTGTCAACCAATGACATCCCCTGGCTGCTCTCCCCATGCAGTGGCATATGGCTCCTGGTACAACCACGTCAAGGGCTACTGGGAGCGGAGGAAGGATCACCCCATTCTCTACCTCTTCTACGAGGACTTGAAGGAGGTGATGGACTGGGGTGGATGGTGGTGTGGCATCTGAGGGGGTGGCAGGAGGGGTGAACATCAGCCTGTGTCCCACAGGACCTCCGCCGGGAGATTGTCAAGGTGGCCCAGTTCCTGGGGCACGAGCTATCAGAGGCGGCACTGGACGCCATCACCCAACACACTTCCTTTGAGGCCATGCGGGACAACCCCACCACCAACTACAGCAAGCTGCCCTCCGACATCATGGACCACAGCGTGTCCCCCTTCATGCGCAAAGGTGAGCAGCTCTGGGGGGCTGCAGGTGCCCTGTCCCCCCGGCCCCTGCTGAGCCCCATCTCACCTGGCTGCAGGCACCACTGGAGACTGGAAGAACCACTTCACCGTGGCCCAGAACGAGCGCTTTGACCAGGACTATGCGCAGAAGATGTCGGGCACCGACCTGCGCTTCCGCACTCAGATCTGAGGAGACACCGCCAGACACCCCCCAAATCCGACCCATGCTGGTGGCACTGCTCCCACACCGGGGGCTGCTTCCCCACCTCTGAGACTGCTGGAGAGTAATAAAATGTGCTTCCTGACCCCTGCATGGGGTGCTCACTTCCCTGTGCCTGTGCGGACCCAACCCTGCCATCCCCCTGGGGCTGCTGTCCTCTTCTTGGGCTGGGGACAAGCAGGTGTCACCCCTCAGCTGCCATGGTGGGGGGATTGCTACCAGGAGCTCCGTGGGATTGCAGAGGGTTGTGGCAAAACTGCATGTGGGGAAGCTGTTGGCTGGATAAGAGCAGTGAGGGGTGGCCTCCCTGTCCTCCCTGTGGGGAGACACACTCTGGGACCTGGGGGTGGAAAGAAGTCCACTGTGGCCCTGCCTGCTGGTCAGTGACTGGTGGCTTCTCCCTGTGTTTGCTCCTCCCTCCCGGCGGCCGCAGAACCGGAAAACATTGCTGCCCTTGCCGCCCTGCCTTTTCCTTCTCCTCCCTGTAAAAACTGCTGCGGGGCCCCGTGTCTCCCTGCCCTCTGCCGTCACCCTCGTGGTGTCACTGTCCCGGCGTCACTCTCCCGGCACAGAGCGGCACTGTATTAGGTGAGAGGGGTGTCCTAGGGTGCCCTGTGGGTGCTCTGCCCATGCTCAGCCACACAGAGCTGTGTGCTGTGGGGTCCGGGTTGGTGGGTTTGGGGTACTTTTGGGTGTAATCAGCCACCTTAAACCTTCCCCTGCAGTGAGGTCTGCTGCAATAACCCCTGAGACCCAGTTTCCTGCTCCTCTGTGGTGCTGAGGCAATGGGAGAGGTGCTTGGTCTGGGTGATGCTGGCACACCATGGGTAACCCCTGCCTTGCTGGGGCACTGAGTGTACTCCTGTCCTCCCGAATGGGCCCCCGTCCCCAACGGTGGGTGCAGCAATGGCTGCAGTGACCTCTGGTCTGTGTGGAGGTTCTATCACTGACGCTCTCTGGGCAGACTCTGTGCCGTGTGCCCAGGCTGCCCTGCCCATGGTAGACTGCCTGTTCTTTGCCCAGCTCTTTCGTGCCTCAGCAGCAAACTAACCCACTACTATAAATCATTGGCAAGCTGACTTGTCACAGGGAAAGGCTTGCCATGGGAGCATGAACACCAAAATGCATGAAAAGGTGGAAGGGAGAGAGCATCTCCTCCTCTCTGGGCTGTTAGATGAGTCCCATCATGTCTATACCCTCAGGATTTGCAAACTTGCCCATCAGTACAGAACAGAGCTTTCCCTGGGGATTCAGATTTATGCTGGCAAGACAGTGTACCATATCTGCAGGTAGCTTTGGCAAGTCTGCTGCTGCTCTTCACTGTAGAGCTGACAAGGACAGCTGCAGTACCTATTCTCCACCAACAATGCACAATTCCCAGCACGGACATAAAGCTTGGCATAAACTTTCTCTGATTTCTTTAGTGTTTTGGCTTGCAGAGTGGAAATGGCTCCAGTGTGAGCCACCTTGGTGCCTGTATGTTTACATGCCTAGGTGCCCCTGCAGCTTTGCCGCAGCAGTGAATACAGTTCATAAAATCTTAAGCTGAATCAAAAAATCCAAGTGAAATACTGTAAGACTAGCCCTTGGTATTTTTATCCTGCAGCTGCAGGGTAGAGCTATAAAGATACTTTTATCTGAGAAAGATGGTCATGGTGAGGCTATTTCAGCTCATCAACTTCAGCTGGAGTTTCCCTGTACCCTGGGTCTTACATGGAAATGGGTGTTTTACTGAGCACATGCACACCCGGCTCTGCAGAATTGCTCAATCTGCTCACTTCTGCCTCCTCCCCTCTCCTTCCCCCCCACCTCAGAAACAAAGATAGTCAAGACAAAATTTTAAGTCTGCTTTCAGACCAGAAGCTGCTTTATTGCATTAAGTGAAAGGGAAACCAGAGAGTCATTTGGTGCCTCTTCAGGGCAAAAGCTTCCCTCTTCCACCCTGGTTCTGACTTTTTGAGGTTCTGGTTGGTATCAAGGTTTTCTAGAAATAAAGGTGCCATGCACACCATAACCCCCATCCGGACAGCACAATAGTGAAGAGACCCGTAAGAAAACACTAGTTTGCATTGCCTAACTTTTGCATAAGGGCCTTAGCCTTGAAAAGCCTGTTGTTATTTAACAAGGCTGGAGGTTGCATCACTGTCTGCAGCACTTCTACTTAGTAATGTTAGATGTGTGAAATACAGGCACTTAAGACCATTTTTCTTCTGCCCCACTTCCCACTCATTTGCTGGATTTTGTCCTTTAATCCTCTCAAAATTCTTATCTTCTCTGATCTGAGTAATCTGAGTATCATCTTTAAAAGCTGGCCATGGAAACAAGACAAATTTAATCCTCCGGTTCCCCTAGTAATAGCTCTCATTTGCTATGGAGGAATTCCTTACTAAGGGATTGGAACAAAAGCCTAGTTCCCATCCAAGAAGTGATCACAGCACCAAACCTGACAGAACTCAAGAAGCATTTGGACAATACTCTCAGGCATATGGTGCAAATCTTGGGGTTGTCCTTCTGGGTCCCTTCCACCTCAGGATATTCTATGATTCTGTGATCTGCTCTAGCCCACATGAACATGGCCTTTCCACAGTTGTCGGAAAAGCTGTAAGTTTCTTATAGGACTTTACAAGATAAGCTAAATTAGCCTGAAAAAAAGTATTATCTTGGATACAAAGGTCTGTGAAGAGAGTAGTGAAATTCCTGGCTGTGAGGCCAAACTACTGGTCAAACATGGTGGCATAATTGCCCTGGATTCTGAGGGTTTAGAAAAAGCCTGGTTGAATGTTATGGATGATATTTAAAGACCTTGAAGATGCACCTTTAGATTCCTATATTTTCAGGTTATTAAAAACTTGAAAAGATCTTCAGAATCAAGAGCCACACAGCCAGTACAGGTAACATACCAACTTTAGAAAACCTCTGCAAACAAACCACAAGATTCTCTCCTTATTCCTGTTGACAGTTTATAAACAAATCTATTACCTAACAAACAATTTTGTTTAGCCACCTGGGACCTTATAGGGAGTAAAAAAATCTTTTTAGCAGTCAGACATCATATTTCTGAGCTACAGTAATCAAAGTCCTCTTGAGAATCTGGCTCTGTAATAACATTATAATACACCCTAGCATGGGGAAGACCATCTCAACTATTACATTCCCAGAGCATAACAAAGCAATGAATAAACACAGAATACATGCCTTGTTGCCACTATCCCGTATTTTATTACTTCCTCCTTGTGAAAAGTCCAGTTCAGAGGGTAACTTACTTAAGCTCCTTCTGTCTGATAACCAATCCTACTGGAGCAGCCCAGGGACAGAGCAGGAGAGTGGCAAGGAACAGACGCAAACTGGTGTAGCAAATTGCACCTTGCAACTCACAGCATGATGCTAATGTACCTTGGAAGACTACACTAGGTAAGAGTTTTTTGCTGCATGGCATTTGTTCCCCAAATTGTGTTGGTTTGAACGTATCATTATCTGTGTGGGTTTCAGTTGTAATTCTGGCTCCTTGTGGTTAAGAGCTCCTTCCAGGGCATAGTGCTTACATTTGAAGGACAACTTACCAAGTGAGAGCCATCCCAGAAGATGCAGGTTTTGCTCTGAGAAGCACCTTGAGGGGCCAGACCCATGTTTGACACTTGAACTGAGAACAACAATGCAGCCAGGTTGGTGGTGATGTGCCCCAGGCACTCCTTATGTTAAGAGTTGTCTGGGAGCAATTGGAAGCCACCTGTCACCTATCAGAACAAACTGCATGTTATTATTGGCATTATGATCAACCAAATGAATGATTTGTTGCCTTCTCTCAGTGTGGGAAATATCAGCACTTCCAGCATCTCACTGTGAAAAAGGATGCCACTTCCAAGCTAGCCCTGTGATGTCTCCTTCCTTGTCCTGCCTCTGGCATTGCTAGTTTATGGAAAAAATGCAACGGACTTTTTTGAGCCTCAGAGCTGGCATCCAGGGGACTGGATCCTTTCACAGCAGTGAGGATTGCTGCCACCCTGCTAACCAGGGAAAGGAGCTCCCTCAAGGGAAAACTAACTGGGTAGAAGGCAGAAAGGGAAAAATGAATCACCAAATACCTTTTCCTGTCTTTTCAGACCTGAGACCAAACGTGGGTTATAAAGGCACCACCTGTGTGACAGCAAACCCTTGCTAAGAGTGCTAGTAAGGAGTCATCAAACACAACACAGAGGTGCAGCATTCCTAACCGGAAGGGAAAATTCCCAGGCTATCTAGCCCTTAATTCTGCCATGGCCACAAAAAACACCGGCTCAAAGAAATATGTCCAGCTGCTCCTTCTTCAGGTTGCTCTTCTAGGGCCTGTTTTCTGTGGGAAGGTGTTGGTCTGGCCAACGGAAGGCAGCCACTGGCTGAACATGAATGTAATTATACAAGAACTCATCCACCGTGGGCACAGCGTTACCATCCTGGTATCCAACGCTACCCTCTTCATTAAACCCAAGGCTAATGCCAGGGAGAAGATTGAGCTCTATAACGTGCCCTTTAAGAAGGATCTCCCTCAGACCCTGATTAATGGAATAGTGGCACTGTGGCTCAATAACAGGCCAACCATTTTGACCTTCTGGCATTTTTATAAGGAGCTGGGAAGATTGTCCGTAGACTGGCAGAAGATGAACAAGCTGATGTGTGACTCGGTGCTAGCCAACCCAGAGCTGATGGCTCGCCTGCGGGGGGCTGGCTATGACATGCTGCTGTCAGACCCGGTGACCCCCTGCGGGGAACTCATTGCTCTCAAGCTGGACATCCCCTTTGTCTACTCTCTACGCTTCTCTCCAGCCTTCACCCTAGAGAGGCACTGTGGCAAGATCCCAACCCCACCGTCCTACACACCTGCAGCCCTGTCTGAGCTCACTGACCATATGTCCTTTGTTGAGAGAATAAAAAACTTTGTGTCCTACCATCTGCAAGACTATGTTTTCCAGACCTACTGGGGACATTGGGATATCTACTACAGCAAGATCTTAGGTAAGTCTTCTGATACTTCACTTCTCATTATATAGCCTCCATCCTTGTGACCTCCAGAGCTAGGAACCTGGCAGGGTCACAAAGTCAAGGGAGAGGTCTGCAAGAGGTTTGTCATTATGCCCCAAAAAAGGGAAGGAGCCAACAGGGTCCGTCAGTTGGACCCACTCCGCTGTCAGGGTGCTGTGCTGCTATGCCATTGCACTGAGGCAGGATCAGGGTCTTCCCAATAGATGGATTTGAGTTTTGTCGTAATTAATTTTAACGTGGAGGTTCATACAGCTCCCACACCATGTGGGGCCCTCAGCAAGGGAGCCTCAGCTTACGTATTTCTCCCTCCAATGACTGCTTGAACAGAAGGCAGCCAGGAACAGAGTTGTTTTCCTAGTCCATAGTACCATATCAAGGAGGGGGGAGCGGGTGAATTGCAAGCCAGCCTTGTCGCTCTCTGTAGCAAATGCATTGTGGCTTTGTAATAGAGATTTCACTTATGTCACCGGTCATAGAAAACCGATCCTCTCTGAACAAAACAAGTTTTATTTAAAACATACCATCCACCCACAAGCAAACAGTGAAAACACGTCTTTTTCTCTGCAGACTTTTCTCCTGGACTGTTTTGAGTGAATATCTAGAAAAATATGCTTGTTATTAATCACATGTAATCAACAAGCCATTTCTACTACCCTCGCACTAGGCTCTTGAAAAAGACCACTTCCAAGTCTCTCAGTGTTCAAAAAACCTCCTCCATATACCTGCATGCTGCAGGACTCCAGAAGTACACCAAACTGTGGTCATGTGCACAGTAGATGAGGTATCTCAGCTTGGCTCCTCACAGTGCAACTGTTTCCATCACCCTCATTTTCATCCCAGAAAGGATGCTCTAGGCAGCACGGAAAACATAGCAAAAGCCTTGCACAACAACATTAGGAAAACATTGTGAACAGAGCTGGTTAGAAACCCTGTAAATAATGATTTTTAGCACAGTGAAGAGGACTTACATTATTTCTTAACTGTACATCAGAAGGGACCATAAATAAAACTGTTTAGCAGGTTTTCTACTTCAACTTATAGTGCATAATTGGCAGTTAGTGTCAGCCAGGGGGCCCACAGGATCACCGACCAGCTCTGGCCTCCCACGATGCATGCTCTGGAAGAGGTAAGTTCACTTGAGGACAGTCTTACTGGAGTCATTTACTGTGTAGTAAATGGCTCGGTGGCTTTATAAAAGCAGAAGTGTGCCCACAGTCAGTGAACATCTTTGCTGTGTATCCAGCTGTGCTTAAAAGAGCCAGAAAAATGAAAAATGCACTTCTTCTACCAAACAAATAACACAGAGACTGTAGTTAGACAGGCAGAAGCGCTGGGATTACCAACAAGATACTCTTTGGCTCCTCTCTGGAGCCAAAGCTGATGGCTCTCTGTGCTGCTCCAGCAGAGGCAGATCTTCCGGCTTTAGCAAGGTGTTTACCACCAGAGGGTGCTAGATGGTGCCAGCCACTTATTGCTCTCCCCGCCCTCCCCCTCTCCCCCCGGAAGACATGCTATTCTCCAGCACAGGATTTCACGGCACGTACCTTGGCCCCTTGCCCTTGGGACCAAGGCAGTGTCACACGTGCCCAGCCCAGCTGAGGAGCGCTGCTGCTGCTGCTGCCGGTGAAGGAAGGCCGCGGGTGCACTGCCACACTGGGCAGGCTATGGCAGGGAAGGAGGTGGCAGTGCTGTGGCTGCTGGCCGTGCTGGGCTGGGCCTCCGGGGGGAAGGTGTTGGTCTCGCCGGCTGACAACAGCCACTGGCTGAACATGGAGTTCATGCTCCGGGAGCTTGTGCTCCGGGGCCATGAGGTGACTGTGCTGATGCCTTCATGCTTCCTCATCTTCAACCACACACAGCCCTCACCCTTCCACTTCGAGGTGATTGAGGTGCCGATCACCAAAAAGGAGATGGCTGCCGTACTGGATGAATTTTTCTATTTTTGGTTTTACGAGGAGAGAGTGCTACCATTCTGGAAAAGTGCTTACAAGATAGCTCAACAACTCAAAAAGCTGGAGAATGTAACCAAAACCATTTGTGATGGGGTCCTGAAGAATGAGACGCTGCTGGAGAGACTGAAGGCATCTGCCTTTGATGTCCTTTTGGCAGACCCACTGGCACCCAGTGGGGAGCTGTTTGCTGAGAAGCTGGGTATCCCCTTCGTGTATACCATCCGGTTCTCCTTAGGCAACACAGTGGAGCGGCTCTGTGGGATGCTCCCAGCACCTCCTTCCTACGTACCAGCCGCCCTAAGCAGCCTAACAGATAGGATGACCTTCTGGGAAAGGCTAAAAAACATCTTCAGCTACACTTTGCAGGATATCATGTATCATTACCTTATCTGGGGAGGCTGGGATCAATACTACAGTGATGTTTTAGGTAAGGCTGCTCTCTCTTCCAGAAATTAGATCTGCTGTACACACAGGAGTAAATACCCAGAGCTGAGAGGTTAAGGCACAAATTAGGGGCAAGACAGCCCTGAACTCACTCTCCTTCCTTCAAATTCCTGTGTCAATTAAAACAATCCAGGCAAGTACAAACGTTGCCCATTAATCCTGACCTGCTACACTAGTTCAGCTAAGTCCATACAGGCAGTTCTAGGATAGGTAAAACAGTGCTAAAGCCACTTGAAACAGAGCTCATCAGTCATATTCATAGATGAATCATGACAAATACTAAGAAAAGCAAAATAATACTGTATACCCACCAAACACTAGTACTAGGTTTGGAAAGCTATGCAAGAATCCTACCTGTTTTCCCCTGGCACCCTTCTTGCTTGCCAGCTTGTCTCAAAATGAGAGATAATGGCCTCCTCTGGTCTTTTAAAGGCCTGGGATTTCAGATGAACTGCAATTTGCAGTGATAAAATGACCTTTGCAGAGACATGTTTCTTTGCTTTTCTGAAAGTATCTAAAAAAATACTAGAGGGTAGTTGTATTTATTTATCAGGTGTTTTAATTAATTTTGTAACTAATAGTTGCATAATTATTTTCCCATTTTTGCTCTAAGTAATTATAGTAACACTTAAAAGGAAACAGGCCAAACATATATGCATTGCTGGTGGGCAGATAAAATGGTATTATTTCAATATGAGACTTTAAAGTGTTTTTATTTTTATTTCACTAGTAAGGTGAATTCTGCTGAGAGCTAAGCTGTTAAGATATCCTACTATTAGTATCTAGCTGTGTGTTTTTGATGCTTATCCTGTTTGACATGATACGAAAATCTTGTGCTGGCAGAAGCATGGTTTGGTGATCTGTTGTGTAAGTCTCAGAGATGTTTGGATCTTGTGGTGCCTTTTTTATTGTTAAATATGGGGTTTAACATTTAAGGCTTCATGTGCAATACCTGTTTTGTTAGTTTGCGTGGGCTACATGATGGATTTGTGCTGAAAACAGTGTTGACAACACAGGGATGCTTTAATGCTGTGGCTCTGCAGGAGACTCCAGAACGGGATTTGCTGCTTCCCCAGTCCTCCTCCTATGAGTGTTGTTTTGTGTTAGGACATGCCCTCTCGCCACGCTTCCCACTCTTGTCACCAAATGTATGCCACTTTTATTGGTTGGCTCCAAAGTGTTTGCACAGTGAAGCAGTGAACTGCTTCCTGTTCAGTCAGTCCAGAGTTGTACATGGAATGCTGAGATGATGAGGTCAAAGATCCCCTGGCTGCTCTTGGCCTATGCATGCTGCTGGAGTACTGGCTTTTGTGGGAGGGTGGTGGTCTGGCCCACTGATGCAAGTCACTGGATCAATGTGAAAGTGCTGCTGCAAGAGCTTGTTCTCCGGGGTCATGAAGTGACTGTGCTGGTGCCTTCAAGCAATCTGCTCATCGACTACCAAGACACTTCCTCCCCCTTCACCTTTGAGGTCCTGCAAGTCCCCTTTAGCCAGAAGACCCTGGATGCTCTCATGGAGGACTTCCTCAATTTCTGGCTGAACGAAGTCTCTAATGCCTTCCCCTGGGAGGTCATGTGGAGGATGAAAAAGGACCTGGAGGTATTTACCAATATGTCAAAGCAAACGTGTGACACCTTGGTGACGAACTCTCAGCTGATAGCAAAACTGCAGCAGGCCAAGTTTGATGTTTTGATTGCTGACCCCCTGTCTATAGGTGGGGAGCTCGTTGCAGAAATCCTAGGCATCCCTTTTGTCTACAGCTTCCGCTTCTCTGATGGGAATGTGGTAGAGCGGCTGTGTGGTGGGCTCCCATCCCCACCTTCCTATGTGCCTGCTAGTACAAGTGGGCTGACCCACCACATGTCCTTTATGGAAAGACTACAGAATTTCCTCATTTACCTCTACACGGATTTATTTTTCTTGAAGGTTTGGCGTGATGAATTGGATGAGTACTACAGTAATGTCTTAGGTAAGGCAGCTGTTGAGTGGTTTCTTCTCTTGCCTCTTGCATAGGTTGTGCCTTTTGAATGGTTTGGGACTTCAATGCTGTTGTGTCAAAATACTGTTTCTCAAAGGTCAGCAGAGTTGGCAATCCTGTTTTGTTCATAGAGGCTCTGCTTTCCCTTTTAGGTTTGATCTAGTCTATCAGACATGAGAGCAGTTTTGCTCTAGTTCCTCTTGCAGATCTACAGAGCATGTAGTTCTAATTTCTGTCAATGATGATACTGCTGGTGAATTCTTGCATTGAGCTGTATGTTCATTTTAGAGCTTTCAGAGGACAGTTGCTGCCTTTTCATCTTGATGACGCCAACTTCTACAATTAAGGATGGTAGAAGATAAAGGCTGGAGGGCAAAATCATTAAATGTAAGGCACCGGTGACAGCTCCATTAGCACCACTGGGATGGAGTTAATTCTGTTGTAACTGGGAACACTGGCTGTCTCTGGACAACTGCAGAGCAAAAAAGCACCCTTCATTCACATGACATCCATTGTCTGGAAGTATCTTGCAATGCTGCATAGTGCAGGATATTGAGCATGAGTTCAGATTCTTGAACAAGAAATACTACGAACTGTCATCTTTCCCTTTCATCCACCATTCAGAATTTGAAATGGTCTTCTTAAATTACATGCATACCTGAAAATTTTGTTCCAACACAGTACAACTCAGGCATGATTCAAAGTCTATTAAACAGACCTTTTAGTTCAATGGACTTTGAATCTTGTCCAGAATATCTGCCAGTTTAGGCAGATAACAAGTGAATAGCAAGCACAAGGGCATCTCTTCTGCTGCCGTCCAGTCTCTTCCTGTGTTTGCCAAGAATGCCTCTGTGCTCTGCAAACCAGTCCCTCTTCTCTGGACTGATTTTTCTTCTTAATACCACATAAGACTAAATTACAACTTTATATCACTCTACGTGTAATACAGACTTAATTTTCACTTCAGCAACTTTGTAACTCACTCATTATTCTTTACAAAGAAAAAAAAAACTGGTGTAGATTATTACACTAATCCAGGAATATAAGAAGATGCCTGACAGATTATTTTTATTTTGCTGCTTATTTTGCTTGATTCCTGCTTGTATTAGGCTGGATTTGGGCAATAATTCATCAATACTTCTAGCACTTTTACTCCCCAGTTTTGCTTTACGTAGAAAATACTGCAAAGACAACTTGCAATGTGTATCTAAGAATATATATTTTTTCCGAATGGGAAGCTATAAAACATTAGATTACCATTAGATTTTTCTCTGTAGATGGATTTCTAGAGACAATGTATTTTGCATAAAAAGACATTCAAAGCATCTGTGGATTTGGCCAATTTTTCCCAATATGTGTCAAAAGCAGCTGATCCAGTCCTCAAGAAAACTAGGGATGTCTGTACCTGTCTTTTATTGTTGTCTGAGCAGCCACTGACTGAGTCACCACTTGAAAAATGCTACAGAACTTCATTTAAAAACTTTCCTCCTCCCTGACAGTTGATCATCACTTTGTGATTCATTTATTTTTTATTTGGAACTAAATTTTCTGTGATTGTTCTCTTCCCCAAAGTGCATTTTTATTACAAGCACAGGTAATAAAGTCTTTCAGTGGCAAGAATTCCAGCAACAAGACTGCACTTCTATATTACAGATAATAAATGCTTCCTACTTGTACTGCTCTAAATTAATCCTGAAGGTTCAAAATCCTTTTAAAGATTGTATTGCCTTGTTCGTGGCCACCTGCCAAGGCTGAACACAGGACAGGGCAAGGAATAGGTCCAGATTTGTGAATGTTTTCATTTTATGCATGGTTTGATAGATTACACTGTTTGGGAGTTCCAAAAGACAAAGGTAAGGCTCCTGTTTTGCAATCTACAGATAACAAGGTCACTCCCGTGCATGTTCTAAACCTCTTGTACCTTGTCCGCAGGAAGACCCACAACGCTGTGTGAGACGATTGGGAAAGCAGAGATATGGTTAATCAGAACTTACTGGGATTTTGAATTTCCACGTCCTTTCCTGCCCAACTTTGAGTTTGTTGGAGGACTTCATTGCCAGCCTGCAAAGCCACTACCAAAGGTACTCCAGCTTTGCTCTACTGTTGGCTGATTGGTTGTGCAGCAGAACAAAGACTCTCCCTGATCAACCATGCAAGCCATGTCCTGAGAAAGCTCATTCTTAAAGAAATACTCTGCCGCTGGTGGGGAGCATGGAGCTATTTAGCATCTGTCCATGTCCCTCCAGCTGAGGGCTGGGGTTACAGGGTTACAGCCTGCTGTCTTAAAAGAGGATAGCGGACATCAGCATGGGGGAATACAGTGTCTGTTTTGGGAAAAATAGGGGCTACCTCAGAGTAGTTAAGTGTAAGATTTAATTATAAGATACAGACTTGCAGCCCACGATAACATTGAAACACCTGATGCAAAAAGGCACTGTGACAGGACAAATTCTTTAACTAAAATGGGGTCAAGACTTGCAGAAAGAGATGAGTGAGAAACACTTTTTCTATTGAACTTAGTTTAAGACATCTTAAAGGGAGTAAAAGACCTGATCATTTCCAGCCTACGCTCTGCTGTGAATGGCCATATTCCATTGGAATTTGAAACTCCCAGATACTGATGATGGCAACATGACAAGCTCAGGTCTAGATTATCATTCCTGTAGGAGCCTCAGAATATGTAGGCCATTTTCAGTGCAAGTTGTCTACTAAAAAAAAACCTTCTAACTCTCTACTCCCTTACCACTCCCTTGTAGCAGGGGTTGAGACTGGGGGAAATGGATAGCCATTCTCTTTTGGATATTACTGCCATTTCACATGACACTAACTAAAAAAAAGGAACAGGAAAACCTACTGGTCTGATTTGTAGAAAATCTTCTGACCAATGTGGTGTGTTGCAAGAAATAAGAGAACTGTCTGACTAACGAAATGATGGCAGTGACTCAATGAGTCTGTGATCAGGATGCTGAAAAACCGTGTCAGTTTTTAGCATGGTCCCTTCCTGCAGAGTTATGTAATGCCAAGTACTTGTTCTAGGGAAATCCAGAACCATGACTATGCTACGGAGGGGGCCACAGGGTATGGCTGGCTCATGACGGTGCCAGGATCCATTCCTGCTGCTTGTGATCCAAAAGAAATGTGTCCTGAAACTGGTAGATTTTCTTTCTAAAAGACAAAGCATCTGTCACCTGTCTCAACTTGTCCTGCTCATTCTTGGGGAGAAACTGTTTTGCTCAGGGCCAGGTCTGTCTTTGTAACACCCTTCTGTCAGTGGAGGTGCTCGTACACCATGACCATCTCCCTGATAAACTAAAAAGGTTATTCCCTTTTTTCAGAGAAACCTGTGCAATCTGCATGGCATAATTACTCTTGGTATGTTTTCTGCCTCTCCTAGGAAATGGAAGAATTTGTTCAGAGCTCCGGGGAACACGGCATTGTGGTATTCTCTCTTGGGTCAATGGTCTACAACCTAAGTGATGAAAAAAGTAATGTGATTGCCAAAGCCCTCAGCCAGCTTCCACAAAAGGTGAATTTCCTTTCAAGCCTAAAACAACTTGCCTTGTTTTTTTCACTCCTGTTGCCTTCAGTGAGACTTTTAAGTTTGAACTGGCCTGTTTTTTATCTGCATCCCTGCTGGATGTGCTACAGCCGGGACACTGGGCTCTCTCTCAGAGAGGCAGACTGCTGAGCTACCTCATGGGGAGTTCTGGCGTTTGACCTCTGAACCAAATTACGTGGAGGTGTGTCCATAGGCCAAAATACAGAGATCACTTCAGTTGATTTTTATAACATGCACATAATAATTAATCAAAGAGTTCAACTGGAGCCGAAGCTATTTGAATTACTGGGAAAAGGCACATGGGTTTGAGAAAAAGCCCTACATTACACGCAATAATATATAATGGCACATTGCATGCACCGTGTTTATCTTATTCTTCCTTTGTTCAAGGTCCTCTGGCGGTACAAAGGGAAAAAACCAGAAACTCTGGGCTCCAACACCAGGATTTATGACTGGATACCCCAAAATGACCTGCTTGGTGAGACTGATTCTATATAGGATGGACTGTATTCTTGGAAAAACTGTTTGTTTTTCCACTGAAATGGGTAATTCAAGGACCGGAACCACATAACACTTGTGGATACACTTAGTTTCATAACTTAAGCTGCAGAGCTTTGCTCTTGGGAGTCTTAATTTCCTAAAAGGCTCTGACTTACAGAGCTTGGTGGCAGTTGTCTGGAAAGGCTCAAAAACACCTGTAGGCAGGAGTAAATACCAAAGTAGAGATGTACTCTGGAGTTGGATTTGGCCTCTGCAGTTAATCTCCAAGGCTTATTCTTCAAAATGCTTGACCTAAGCAAGGCTGAAGCAGGAGGCTTTTGTGAACCTGATACCATGTGAAAACTAGAACTGCACAAGAGCAGGAGGGCTGAAGTAACTGGGGTAGTCTGGCAGGACATGATGATTCACACACTGCATTAAAAAGGTACAAATGCATGAAAGCTCAGTGTGCAAGCTCTGCTGCTGAGCCAGAGGTCAAGGGCTGTTCCCTTCTCTGGCAGTGCATTTGCCCCAGTGTTCTGCAGTGCTCACATCCCAGTCAGTGCAGTCTGCCACAGCTGCTGTTACATGCGCCTCTCCTTCCCTGTTCCAGGACATCCCTCCGCAAAGGCCTTTATTACTCACGGTGGGACCAACGGGCTCTATGAAGCCATCTACCATGGGATCCCAATGGTTGGGATTCCCATGTTTGCTGACCAGCACGACAACATTGCTCATGTAGTGGCAAAGGGAGCTGCAGTTCATGTGGATTTCAACACACTGAAGACTCAGGACCTGGTTGATGCACTGAATACAGTAATTTACAATTCCACGTGAGTTTTGTTCTTGCCTTACAGTAGGCTGAGGTTATTAAAATCCTGTGCTGCTGCTGTGAGAAATTCTGCTAGCTCTTCTTGGATGGAAAATGCAGAGTAGCTGAGTTTGGGTTTCAGAGGAAAACCATCCTTCATTTCTGAGAATCAGCATCTCTCAAATAGGAGAGATCAACAATTTGATTTTCCTTATATTTTATGATCCCTTCAAGAAAAAGTTTTGGAAAGCCCAGAGCAGCTCTTGAGACAGTTCTCTGCTAGAGTAAATCCTCTGGAGGCACTAGTTGTATTAGGTCTTCTCCGTTTGTAGTCACAACAGTTCTTTCTCCTACCCCTGACTTACCAATATTCTTAGGTTACCATACCTATCATTCAGGACTTAAGAGGGTAAGGAAGGCCAGCAGCTTAGATCCCATGCTAAGGCTAAGGCCATTGACAGAGAGATTGGAAAAAATGCAGAAGTCCTCAGTCTTTGGCAGCAACTCCTGTCATGTGTGAGTGACAAGTGTTCCTTCAATATGAACTTTCAAATTCCTGAAGCAAATGGACCAACACGGATGGAGGTATCTAGTATCTGAGGGAGTTAGCCATGTGGCAGGTGACCTGTAACAACCAGGATGATATCTTGCGTATCCAGCCTCCCCTACCTTCCCCTTAGTTTTATTGGTGAACATGATGCCATACGGCCTGGGATATCCCTTGGGTGAGTTGGGGTCAGTTGTCCCAGCTGTGTCCCCTCCCACCTCCTTGTGCACTCCCAGCCTCCTCACTGGTGGGGTGGGGTGAGAGGCAGAAAAGGCCTTGGCTCTGTATAACGGCTGCTCAGCAGTAAGGAAAGCATCCCGATTTTACCAACATTGTTTCCAGCACAAATCCAAAACATGGCTACTGTGAAGAAAAAGCTAGCTCCATCCCAGCCAAAACCAGCACACCATATTACATTGGTACATAAAATGCTGCAAATGTTTCCATGTTGCTTTTTTTAAGGAGTATCTGTAATAATTTCTGATAACATTTCTTTGCAAAATATTGGCTTTCTCTATTAGTACTTTTAACCCAATTTTATGCATACAGGAATAAATTGGACCAGTTTCAAATATATTTAAATAGGACTGATGAAAGGAAAAGTAGGGCTGTCTACCTTCCTCAAGAGGACTGCCAGGTGCTGAACAGGTTCTTTCAGGAATCAGTGAGAAATCTCCTTGGTTTCTTCCTTTTTTCTTTTTTTTCCCCCAGCTATAAGGAAAATGCTCTAAAGTTATCCAAGATACAACATGACCAGCCAGTTAAGCCTCTGGACAGAGCTGTCTTCTGGATTGAATTTGTCATGCGCCACAAAGGAGCAAAGCACTTGAGACCAGCTTCTCACCATCTCACGTGGTACCAGTACCACTCCCTGGATGTTCTGGCATTCTTGTTCACCTGTGTAGCCATTACTGTCTTCATTCTTGTTAAGTGTTGCTTATGTTGCTGTAGAAGATGTGGCAGGATTGCAAAGAGGAAGAAAGAATAGACATCTTGTTCTCATCAGCACTTTTTCTTCTCCTAGGCTGATTCAGCAAGGCATTTATTAGGATGTGCTTTAAACTGGGCATATCATGAAGTGCCCCACTGAACAGGGTCATGATACAAAGCTGTTGTGGGGAAGAGCTGGTTGCTTAGCCTGCAAATTCCTTCTGGCCTAAATAAAATTGAATTATAGTTGCTTTAGCCCTTGCGACCATGTTAGCTGATCATACATGGTCCCTACCATGGTAATTACTGCTCTAACTTTTTAAATTCATTTGGGTATATTCCATAAATTCAGCCTTCCTCTGTGTGGTACTGTGGGTCTGCAACTAGTCTCCTTACCTTAACTCTGTCCTCTCCTCTAGTGTAACCCAAGCTTGATGATTCTCAACCATAATACCTCTCCTGTCAGAGTCTCTCTCTCCAGACAGGACAGTGAAGCTAAGATCACAGGCTCCTAAAAAGTGCCCATCTGAAGGGCTGTGATCCTAAAAATTGGGCACTGCAAGTGGCAAATGCACTGACTACTTGGAGGCTGAGGGGAGACCAGAGTCCTAAGACCATCAGAGAAATTGCTTTTCTGGGAACCATTTATCTTTTCCTTTCAGTCTGGAGTCCTGCTGCACAGGCCACCATTCTAACTGCAACACTGCAGGGATGTGAAAACCACCTCTGTCAGGAACTTGCCCGTTTTAAACCCCAAATGCCTCTGAGCCACACAAGAAAAACTCTAGAGAGGGAACTTGCAAAACAGTAACATTACAAGTGGGAACAGTGCACTAGTCACTTGCCTTGCCTGCAAAGTTTGAGGGAAAATAATGCTGCTCTTGGGTCAGGTAAGACTGGTACTAAATGCAGTACACTTCTTCAGTTGTCAAAGGTTTCTACTAAAATGCTGCTAGTTCAGGCCTCCTGTTCTAGGTAAGGTTTTTATGTGCCAGCTTACTCGAGAAAGAACCTGCTCCAATTTTGACTGATTTCTGCTGTACTCTGGAATTGTTTTCAAACAGAACCGGCTGAGAAAACATGATTATTTGTTTACATAATAAAATTCCTTATATCACGTCAACTTTTTTATTAGCATTGTCATGTTTCAATGTCTGATTAAATCTCTTCATACTACAACATGTACAAAAGCTCAAGTGAACTGTTTCCAAATTGAAGAGGGGTTAGAACAAGACTACTGCATCTCATGGCAATTTTTGGTACACTGTTCCTACTGTCACGATGGAATGATATGCAGGAATATGCATATTGAAATATGCATAGTGAACAGAAAATAGAACAGTGTGACATCCAGGCCCCAGATCCAAAAGAGTTTGCTGTAACTGTTCACAGCTGGGTCCCCAGGCACAGCTCCATCGAGCTTGATCACTAACAGCCCCAATCACCCAGTTGCTGAGATGTCAGTTCAGATGCCTGAAGGCCAGCAAGCCTCCTAGAACACTCCATAGGCATTGGTCAGACAGGGCTAACAAAGGACACTGGTAACAGGATAGCTGGGAAAAGTCAGAGAGAGAAAGTGCTCCATAGTCACTGTAAGGAGGGGTGCTTCTTTTCAGTAACCTACTCAGAAAAATTCAGCTTATCTAGTACTGAATTTAAAAAGTAAAAAAAAACCCCAACAAACCAACCAACCAACCAGCCAAAAATCAAGCAAAACCAACCCCCCCTCTTCATTTCTTCATTTTAGAATCTGCATATAAAGCAGAGAAAGATATCAAAGTAGGAAGGTGGTCTATGATGCATTTCTCCAATTACACACAGTATGTATACTAAATTTGTCACACTGATCTGTCCCTACAGCTAGCATGCACACCTCTCTGTGAACAATAAACTGTTTTGAGGAACCCAAACATGTGCAGCTTGTTGTGCTGCTTAAAGAATCCACACATACTTGCATGTTGGAGGTCTAACTTTTTGCTTAACACATGTAGATTTTTACTGGAACTGTAGACTAAAATAAACAGAGCCCACATTATTGCCAGATCTAAAAAACACAAGCTTCCACAACTGCCACACTGTGGCCAATCCTGTACTGCCATTTATAAAAACATCTGCAGCACCTAGCACAGTGGAGCTTGGGTCTTTAAAACACATGCTACAGTTTGGCTTTGTTACATGATCAGATGATGAAGAAAGTTTATGAAGTCCACCCAAGTGCTACTCTTACAAGTTTTGAAAAATTGGAAATTGCTAAAGAAACTGAAGAACTTTCACTACAAGTTTTACTTTTCTTCCTCCCCCTCCGCCCCCCCAGTTTTACCATTGGCATTTCGGTTAAAATATTTCCTATCTAAGAGAAATAAAAAGTGATGCAGTTTTCACTACAAAGAACACATGGGGAGCGTCTGGATCTTGCAGAACTAACACACTTCTGAGAGACAGATATGACTGTGGCCAAGGACAGCCTCTCAATAGCTTAAAGACTGTATGATTAATATGAACATGTAGGGCCTTACTAACTCTGATGAGCTGCAGGAATTGTAAGCTGACTACATCACTGTGGAAACAGAAAAGCAATTACCTTTTATTTCAGCACTCCTTTTCCTAAATTCAGGCTTCAAATCAACTTCACCTACCACATGAACATTTAAACTGGTTTTGAACACAAATGTTTTCCTAGAACTGCCAGAATCTATCAAATCTAGCAAGCTTAGAAAATAAAGAAACCTGATGTGACGTTTTAAACATTTCAATAGTTACCAATTTATTTTTATAAAAAAAATGGTAGCAATGTAGAATACAGCAATATTTTCTGGTTCCACACACGCAGGTTGTGAACATTCCAAGCAATGTGTACATTTTGGAAGGAGACTAGACAAGAGTATTGACCAAAATGTTACTGAACATGGGAAGATTTTTAAAAAAGGCTAAAAATTAGATATCAATAGTGTCTTCTTAATATTGCTTTTATTACTGAAGACTGAAAAAAAACACTTGACTTTACAGATGGGGTTAAAAAATGGGGTGGGGGAAAGAATAAAAAGGCTGCTACAACACTGTCATACAGTCAAAAAAAAAAAAATTCAAACTTCAATATTTGCATACTTGATAGCAGCATTCTCCCATCGAACCATATGAAACTACAGGAAGAAAACATCAAAGCAAAAAAAAAAAAAAAAGGCAGTTATCCATCAGTATTCAAAAACCTAGAATGAAGTCACTAAGTAGATGAACACTTATTGAGAATTAATTAATCAATATCTACATTCTTAGCTGTTTCCAACTCTGTTCCAATAGAAACGTGAAGTTGAGTGTCAGCTTTGCGTATTTTATTTTTGGCCTATTTGAGTTTTTTCCAGTTCATAATTCATTGCATGCTTGGAATAGAGAGGGTCATTATAAATCCTTCTACACAACGAACTTTAAGTAGACAGCTGAAAATAAAATGTACTACTTGTAAACACACAAAAAAATACAAGCTTTTTTTGTTTCAAGTGAGCACTGGTTCCAGATAGATTATCTTCTGTATCTACCTCTTTCACCTCTGTCTCTGTCCCGGTCACAAATCCTCTCTCTCTCCCTTTCCCGATCACGGCCTCTGTCGCGTTCTCTGTCTCTTCTATTGTCTCTAGGACGGTCCCGTTCCCGCTCCCGGTCCCTCTCCCGTGGCCTGCTTCTCCGACCACTGACAACTGCTTGTGTGCGGCGAAGAAAGTCGTCTACCCTCATGTCATAGTCGTGCTGTGATGAAAGGACAGCTCTGTTTATTTTATTTCTCATATTAAAAGTCCCCCCCTTATTCACAGGGCTGGCTGTACCTCTGCAGAAATCCCAGTATTTAAAAAAACCCCAAACAAATCCAAAGTGTCCAGCATCCATGAGCAGAAGCTGGGGTTCAAGTGTCAGATATCAGCAAGAGACCTGAAAGCTAAGCAGCCTTCTAAGCCAACTGACAGAAACTTAACCATCTGCCCTGTTTTCCAATGTGCCTGTAAAAAATAGTAGAACACAAACTTCTGCCGATACAGTAATTCGTTGTGCATGAGCACAGGCAATGTGACAGGTGTGTCCTTATTCAAAGCGGGCTTCAGCATGAAAACATTCAGAGCCGGACAGCTGGAAGCCAAATTAAAACACCCCTCAGTTTAAGAGTTTGAAAATTTTGTGCTTCTACCTCACCTGGGAGAGAAAGGGTTTTCAAATTTGCTGGAAGTGTCAATCTAAATAACCGATCTTTCTAGGGAACACTACTACAGGTCATAAAAATGCAGTTTATCACAGTCAACAAAGCTCAGGTTAGGCTATAACTGGACCCCAGATTCCTACTCTAGCCTGCAGACTTGCATCCCCCTCTGTCTCTCTGGCCACTCACCACTCGTTTGTCTCTGTATCTCGCTTCATGTGGTACAGGATGATGTCCTGAGTATGGAGGATGAGCTTGAGGTGGAGGTGCATGGTGCTGATAGTAAGGGTGGTGTGGTGGTTGTTCCATACCTGGATACGGTGGCTACAAGAAAGTAACAGGAAGTTTGTTAGTGTTTCAAAGCAAAGGAATGCACACAAGGCTGAGCGCTGGTAATTAAAAACACAGGTTACTTTCAGATGGAGAACACAGCAACTAAATATATCCGATTACAGCCTCCTAACCGAATGGTAGACTACTTTCCACTAAGTTGGCATGCTTTATACCTCTCTACCACTGCTTTTAGAAGTTTGGTCAACACACTCCCCAAAACCAAACATGCCCTCCCTCCATATCTGCCTCAACATGATACTGTACATAAAACTTCTGCTACTTAAATGTGGTGGGTTTGGTTTTTTTAAACCTATGCATATGGAATATGAATTCTGTCCAAACCAGCCAGCTCTTACAGAACGAGTCTTTTCAGTGTCACTCCTTATGAATATGTTTCCATTTTAACTGAAAAAACCCTTACTTTGCAAGACAAATTATTTGACAAATGGCGGATTTTTTTTTTTTAATAAGACATGTTTTGGCTGATTTCTTCCACTTCAATCAGCAAGGCCTTCCTTTCCCATATTACCAAATCATCATGGCTTGCATTTTTGTTACAAAGAAAGTAAGTGGAAGTGCTGGATTTTAGGATGACTACTTGGACAGCATGCAAAATAGGGAAGAGAGGAGGAAAAAAAAACGTTTCTGGAGGTTTAGCTGTGTTTGAAAAATCATTTTTCTTCCCATCTGACAAGCTCATTCATTTCCTTCAGTTATAACAAACCATAGCTGTGTTTCAGCTGAGAAAAATTAGAGGCTACAGGAGCATCTCTACATCTGGCACTGCTTTTTGCTCATTGCCAGTATACACAAGAGCCAAAAGACTCATTATAGTTATGCAAAATCAGGCCAGACTTATTAGATGTAATCATAATAACTTGCTATAATGACTACTCCTGACACACTATCAGTTAATTTCTATCTGCAGAGATGCAGATATGTGCACTCAGGTATCTGCTCATCTGACTGGGAAAAGATTGCATTTCAGTGGAGGCTGTATACGGGCAGACTTATTTGAACTATGTTGCGCAGTCCACTTTGCTATGTTCCTGCATGCTTCACTGCCAGAGCCAAAAGCAAGCCACTGCACAGTGCTAGAGCACATCAGCTCATTCCATCAGCCTCTTCAGCAAGTCCACCTGTTTGATGCATTTGCTGTTTGAGAGAAAGCCAATTACTATGAACATTTAGCAGAATACAAAATGTTATTACACTCTCTTGTGTAGGTTAAAGGAGGGTTCTACTGTTTGCTCAGAGCTTTCAGTTTCTTGTAGATTCAAACCAAGGCAGAGTCCAGCTACCTTACTGTTTACTAGAATGCCAGACTACTGCTGAGAGCTAAGTGAATTTCAGAATACTTGATATTAATATTTTCTCCTAAAATGTTTACACAGTTACAGGAAAGATACATTTTAGGAAAAGGGGAGAGTTGAATGCACACTGAATATGCCAGGTTCCTCTAGAGGGAAACAAAAATAGCCATATTCTATGGAGAAAAATCAAATTCAACAAGACACAAACCATTCCTTGCCATGGTGGTGGTGGTCCCATGTTGTGGAATTCCCTCACGTAATCATTGTAGGACTAAAATGAAAGATAGTAACATT